GAGAGGGAGGTGGGAGGTGGGGATCGGGGTGGGGAATACATGTAAATCCATGGCTGATTCATGTCAATGTATGGCAAAAATCACTATAATACTGTAAACTAATTAGCCTCCAACTAATAAAAATAAATGGAAAAAAAAATAAAGCTCAAAAAAAAAAATAATCTGCAAATTCAATCCAATTTCAATAAAAATTTTAGCAGCTTGTTTTGGGGAACTTGACTAAAAGGATAATAAAAAAAATAAAAATCGACAAAAGTTAATTCTCTCAAAGTAGAACAAAAAGATTCAGCTATTCAGACATATTACAAAGTTATATTAAGACAATGTTACACTGGGAAAGGAACTGACATCAAAAACAGAACAGAGCGCCCCAAGTTTCACATTTATGACAAATTGGTATGTAGTGAAATGGGTGAAAAATGGATTTAACAGATGGTGTTAGAAAAAACTTAAATTCTACTCTGCATGCCCAGCAGGTATTCATACTCACAAGACTCAAAAGGATATAATCTGGTACTAAGGTCACTTAGCTTGCTGGAAAGGGCACAGTACAGTAAACCTGGCATTACCTTAGGCAAGCCTCATATGCCACAGGAACCACTATGGTATAAAAATTCCTGAGGGTGGGTTCCTCGTCTCCTTGAGGAGGAACAAGCTTGGTTACCAGATGTATCTTACTCAGAGAAATTCCAAAGCCTGTGCTTTTTACAACCAAATGTATGCTGCTGGATAAACAGCTGGCATTCCTTATGTATCTTAATCCACAATTTCAAGGAAATAGTGCTAATAAAGTAAATCCAAGATAATTTTCCTCTAGAGTGAGAAAGTGGTTTTGTTAATAACCCTTTTAGTGATTAGTTGGAGAATAAGTTGAATTCATATCTCATACTATATCCAATAGTTTTGGATCCTGGAACCATGAGCCAGGCTGACATCCGCTCCTGAGATATATTATATTACATTCCTTGATTATATTCTTCGCAGCCGAAGATGGAGAAGCTCTATACAGTCAGCAAAAACAAGACCATGAGCTGACTG